CCCCCCTTGCGTCCCGCCCGAACAGGTCAGCCCCGTCCTCTCGGCGGCGAGCCCGGGGGGGGAAGTACCAAGGGGCGGGCCTTCTCAGAAGGCTCGGAAGCCCCCCGGCCTTCTGAGAAGTGTTCCCAGCCTTCCCCGGAGATGCAGGAACCTCTCAGAAGGCCTCTGGCCCTCTGAGAAGCCCCGCCGCCTTCTGAGAAAGCCATGTCCTTCTCACTTCCCACCCTCGCTCGCCGCCGAAAGGAGCCACGATAATGACATCCCGCGGCCGTTGTGTTCTGACGTTGGGCAAAATTCGAACGGAGGCGGAACGGAAGTGGAACGAGCGTGGAGCGAAAGCAGACGCCTGGCGCAACGCGAAGGTTCCCACCTTCCCCGACCCCATCTGGGAGGCCTCTGATGAAGCCACGACCATGGCGTGTTTCAAGCGCTCCTCCCCCCCCCGCTCGCCGCCGGCCGTCTGCTTCCCTTGCTCCTCGGGGGCTGCTAGCAGGGCTGTCAAAGAGCTCATCGCGCCGCGCGCCGCCGCGGGCCCTGGGCCGAGGAGGGCTGCCCTTCGCCGTGGGGGCGGTTGCGGGGCTCGCTGTGCGGAGGCGGGCGGTCCCCGTCCCGTCGGGGAAGATCAGCGGTCGTTTCGATTCCTCCTCCTCCTCCTCCTCCTCCTCCTCCTCCTCCTCCTCCTCCTCCTCCTCCTCCTCCTCCTCCTCCTCCTCCTCCTCCTCCCCCTCCCCCCTCCTCCCTCCTCCTCCTCCTCCTCCTCCTCCTTCCTCCCCCTCCCCCTCCCCCACCCGCCGAGACTGACCGAGGGAGAAGACGAGCCCGCCGATCCTCGCCTGCTCCAGCATCGGGGAAGGGTGAGGCGATGAAGGCGAGATGGGTACAGGGGCGAGTTGTCCAACCCCGACAGGGGGTCATAGCCCCCCGAAATTCCACCCCGAGAAATCTGGGCATCGCATACACGTATGAGTGCCAGTGGTCAGCTCATGAACGGAGAAAAGGCTTGTTGGAGGGGCAGGGAGTGGATGCGGGAGGGGAGGCGGGAGGGAGGAGGGAAGGAGAAGGAGGGAAGTTGGACGCGTTCTGACGGCTCGTCGGTTCCCAGAGGTTTTCCTGCCTCTGGGTGCTCTCCAGCAGCTGCGCCTCGGCCAGACCATCCTTGGCCGCTTTCGCTGGCCGCGCCCCGCCCGCAAAGTGTTGGCGTGGCCTTCCTCAGGAACCTGCATGCGTATCGTGCGTCCTTGCGATACGGGTTGACTGTAGTTGGTTCTGGCCAGAAGACCAAAACTCGGCGGCGCGCCGAACGGGGGAAGTGAGAGGGGGGCAGGCAGGAGAGCCCAGAATCGAATCAATAAAGTCGGATCGGCGGTCGAAATGAATCGGATCGGCGGAAATCGGCAGCCGAGCTGGGAAGAGTCGAATCGGCGGGAATCGGCAGGCTAGTGCGCCTCCACTGAGAAATCGGAGTGCGGCTCGGAGTCCCAAGCCGACGCGAATCGGAATCGGAAGCCATTGAAGGGGCCCTGGGACACACAAATAAATACACACAAATAAAAGGATTCCCCCACTTCCCATATTTTCCAAGATTTTCTGGGAAATCCCCGATTCATTGTATCTCTGTGTTTCTTTCCCTCCTGAGCCATCGGCATCGAATCGAATCGAATCGGAAAGGTCGAAAGGAGACCTGGCGGCAGGCCTTCCGAGAGGGCGGCTGCCGTGCTCCGCGAAGCCCTCCGCGGCTTCGGGGGAGGCCCGGGATGCTTCGGGGCTCGAGCCGAGCGGTGCTCGCTTTTCGTTTCCGTGCTCCTCCGCTCCATCGTCGTTTCTGCCTCTGCCGCGAGAAGAGGCCCCCAAAAAACGGCCCAGACACCAGCGAGCTCCAGCCCCGCTCTCTGCAGCTCCGGAGGAGGCTCAGGATACTGCCGTCGAGAGCCCAGGAGGCCCCCCCAGAGCCCTCCGAAGAGGCCCGCCCCGCCTGCCTCCCCCCCCTGGAAGCGCCGCCGGTGCCGGGGAGGCAGCGGGCGGGGAGGCGGGGATCGGGCTGGGCGAAAGGGGGGGAGAGCAAAGGGGGGGTTTGAGAATCCTCCTCCTCCTCCTCCTCCTCCTCCTCCCCTCCTCCTCCTCCTCCCCTCCTCCTCCTCCTCAGCTCACGTAGCTGATTTTCCCGGCGCCTCCCAGCGCCGGAGGCGGCCACGTAGCGAGGAAGGGGCCCGGCGGCGGGGCCGAAACCTGCTGCATGCAGCAGAGTTCGACCCCCCCCCTTCCCCATCCCTCGGGGATGGACAGACCCCCCTTTAGTATAACGTGGTTTAGTGAAAACGACCTGAGGCCCAAACCTGGTGGGCGCAAGCCTGGAAAATAACGGCCACGGCGCCCTCTAGAGAACCGAAAACGGACAATTCACTAATCGACGTGTCACTGTTGGGGGTTCTGTCCAGCCCCGAATCCCCCCCTTTCGTCCTGCCCGAGGGGAAAGGGGGGGAGGGATGGACCGCGGCGGTACGGCCTTGGAGATCATGCTCTCCACGGGATTCAGCACCAGGTGGTTCGCGTCGTTCGTGAAGAGCATGGCGGCCAGCAGGAGGGCCAGGATCACGAAGACGGTGATCATCAGGGAGAAGAAGGCGTCCCAGAAGACGTACGGCCGCAGGTCGAAGAAGAACACAAAGTGCGACTCCTGGAACTCGTCCTTGAGCACGTTGAGCCTGGGCCGGCCGGGGGGGACGTCCCCCTCCCTGCCATCGCTCGGGCGCCCACTCCCCGCGCGTGTGCTCTCGAGCTCGTGCGTGCGCTTCGCCCGAGGATGGCCCAGGATCCGGCGGCGTGCGAGCGAGGGGGGCAAGCAAGAGGGGGCGGGCCTTCTCGGAAGGCTCGGAAGTCCCCGGGCCTTCTGAGCAGTTCTCTGAGCCTCCCCCGAAGACACAAACGAAGAAACTTCTCGGAAGGCCAGAGGGCTTCGGAGGAGTCCCGCCGCCTCCTGAGAAGGCCTTCCCCTCCTCGCTTCCCCCCCTCGCCCGCCGCCGAAGGATGCTCCTCGAGTAAGGGCCTCCTAGATGAGGTCGGAGCAGACGGGGTCGGAGGATCGCGCCTCATCGCCGATAAATCGGTGATGAATCGGCGATGCACCGGCGATGCACCAGCGATGCGGCGCGATCCTCCGACCCCACCTGCTCCGATCCCATCTAGGGGGCCTAGATTGAGGGCCCTCGCCGAGAGAAGATCCACACGCCTGAGCGGTGCTGCGCCTCTCCGAGGGCGCGGCGCCGCTGGTCCAAGGCCAGCAGACCAGGCGCGCGCCTCGACCGCCCCCCTCTGGGGGGCGCGCAAACGTGGATTAGCGATCCATGGAACTGGCGCGCGGTCGCCAAATCCATGGATCGGGGGAGGTGCCCTCCCCAAAATGCGGCCAGTGCCGCCTCGCTCGGCGGCAGAAGTCCGAAACTTCCCACGGAAACGGGACCGTCGCTAAGCCACGCCCCCTTGATCAGGAGAAAAAAAGTGACATAAACATAGAAGCCCGGAGGTCCGCGCCGACTTCTCAGATCGGCGCTGGGGCCCCCCAGCGGCGCCTCCGGCGCAGCCCCTGGCGCGCTCCGCGCGCCAGGGAGGGGGGTCCAGCGCCGATCCAAGAGATCAGCGCGGACCTCCGAGCTTTTATGTTTATGTCACATGTTGTAAACTGCCTCCAAAAGGCCTATCATCATCATCATCATCATCATCATCATCATCATCATCATCATCATCATCATCATCATCATCATCATCATCATCATCATCATCATCATCATCATCATCAGCAGCAGCAGCAGCAGCACCACCACCCCACCACCATCATCATCATCATCATCATCATCATCAGAATCATCATCACAATCATCATCAGCAGCAGCAGCAGAAGCAGCAGCAGCATCAGCATCAGCATCATCATCATCATCATCATCATCATCATCATCATCAGCAGCAGCATCAGCATCATCATCATCATCATCATCATCATCATCATCATCATCATCAGCATCATCATCATCATCATCACATTCATCATCATCATCATCATCATCACCACCACCACCACCACCATCATCATCATCACCATCATCATCAGCATGATCATCTTCAGCATCAACATCAGCATCAGTATCAGCATCATCAGCGTCAGCATCAGCATCAGCATCATCATCATCACCATCATCACCATCATCATCATCAGCATCATCATCAGCATCATCATTATCATCATCAGCATCTTCAGCATCATCATCATCATCATCATCATCATCATCATCATCATCATCATCATCATCATCATCATCATCATCATCATCGTCATCAACTTGTCCCTCCGCCTCTTCGCCCCCCTCCTCCTCCTCCTCCTCCTCCTCCTCCTCCTCCTCCTTTCCCTCCGCCTCTCGGCCCTCCTCCTCCTTCTCTTTCCCTCCGCCTTTCTGCCCTTCCTCCTCCTCCTCCTCCTCCTCCTCCTCCTCCTCCTCCTCCTCCTCTCCCTCCTCCTCTTTGCCCTCCTCCTCCTCCTCTTCCTCCTCCTCCTCCTCCTCCTTCTGCTCGTCCCCCCTCCGCCTCCTTCTCCTGCTCGCGGCCCTCTCCCTCGCACAAGGCGCGCGCGCGCCTCGGGTAGTACTCCTGCCTCTCCTGGCTGCGGAGGTTCTCGGGGCACCTCACGGCGTAAGAGACGGAAGCCCCGTTGAAGTCCTCCACCTCTTCCTGAGGTCCGCGGAGGGAGGGCGCCAGACGAGGCCAGGACGAGCATATTTTCAGGGGAAGATGAAGCGAGCCTCTCTGAGATCCGGCGGCTCTGGAGGATGTCTCGGGCGCCGCGGCCCTCTCAGAGCGTCCCAGAACGTCCTGAGAGCGCTCCAGAACGCCCTGGAACGGACTCATCCTCGTCCTAGCTCCGTCCGAAGGGCGCCGCCTCATCTGATCGGATGGGAGACCAACATCGGCGGCGCATCGTGGGGGGAAGTTCGACGCTTTCTGACGTCCTCGTCGGTGCCCACAGGTTTTTCAACCTTGGGGTGCTTTCCAGCAGCTACGCATCGCCGAGGACGGTCTTGGTGTGCCCAGATCGCCCCGAACGACCCTGGAGACTGGAGCTATGGCCCGAAAACCAAGCTCGGGGCGCGCCGAAGGGGGAAAATGCGAGTGGGCAGGCCTTCTCAGAAGGCGGCGGAACCTCTCAGAAGCCCTACGGGCCTTCTGGGAAGCCCTCCGCGGCCTCGGAGAAGGCTCGGAAAGCTTATCCGAAACTTTTGGGGGCCTCTGGGCCTTCTGAAGAGGCCCACCCCCTCTGCCTTCCCCCCTTCTGGGCGCGCCGCTGATAATAGGGGGCCGCGCGAAGCATAACAAGACGGCCAGCCAAGATTTGGGCCAAACCCACCGTCGCTTCCGCGGGGCGGGCGCGTTTTCCGCAGTCGCATCTCCGGAGCGGGGCAAGGGAGCGCCGCCAGTGGGAGAGAGCAGAGATCGAGACGAAGCGACAACACACAAACAAACAAACAAACAAACAAACAAACAAACACACACACACACACAGACACACACACTATATATATGTATATATATATATATCACAGACACAAACACACACACACACACACACACACACACACACACACACTTGTTTTAAGATTTCGGCGCAGAGGGTCCTCAAGCGCGAGCAGCAAGCGGAGGTGCCAATTGCAATCGAGCGCAGTCGAAAGCGCAGTGAAGGAAGCGTCAATCACTGACGGGCGAGAGTCGCGAGCAGTCTGGTGCAATTAGCACCAGACTGCTCGCGACTCCAGTGCAAAGATGGGTGGTGGGTGGGAGGGGCTGGACCCCAGCGAACGTGAAGCGGCCAGAAACCGAGAGGCACGCCAGGGCGAGCTCGACTCAAGGTGAACTGAAGCGCGAGCAGTCTGGTGCTAATTGCAACTGAATCACCGGGCGATCGGTGTTCAACAGCAATGATGAGCTGCAAAGCTGCCAGACCAGCCGATTGGTGGGGTGACACTGACAGCCCTGGCGCAGGGAGCCCAGCGGGCAGACATTACGACAGCGCGGCCCACGCGCTGGAAAGGGTGCGAAAAGAGCCAGCGCAGCAGCACCGCGCACCGAACGACCGTCCAAGACGGAACAAGGGGGGGTGAGAAGCAGCGCGGGTGAGCAGCCGACCCGCCCAGGGGCCAGGCGCGCGCGATGAGGTCGCACGCACGACATCGAATTCAGACTACACTCGGCACGGATAGTAAGGATGCGCAGTAAGGATGCAAGGGCCTTGGAACGCCATGTTGACGTTTTCCGCGCGGAGCGCAGCAGAATGCCGAAGGACGCCGAATACCAAAGGGTCAAGGATGCAAAGGTAGCCTTTGAAAGTTGCTCCACCCTTACAAGACGGAAACGCTGCACGAGAGGCCGGACAGGAAGTTACAGCTGCGCCCATGTAGTGGCACCAATGATCGGAGGGTCGACAACCCAACCACCACCGCCGCCATCGCAGACAAAAATGGGAGAAGGCGAAGATGGCAAAGCCAGCGCGAGGAGATGCGCAGTCGCGCCATAGCCGGCACGACAAAAGTCGGTCAACGCAGCCGGCCGAAGCCGCGCTCGTGACTGACCGACCAGACGGCGAAGATTCCCGCTGTTGGGCAACATGCAGCGGACTGGACTACACGTTCACAACAACAACGAGAAAAAAAAAAAAAAAAAAAAAAAAAAAAAAAAAAAAAAAAAAAAAAAAAAAAAAAAAAAAAAAAAAGCAACAACAACAAATAACAAACAACAAAAACAACAAAAACAGCCGAGCGCGAGAGACGCGCGGCTGCTCGGGCGGCAGCACGGCGGTAGACTCAGCCCGCGGCGCACCCGATCTGCGAAGGCCCCCTGGGAGAGCCAAACAACGAACGACAACTGTTCGGGAATGTCGCGATGCCGTCTGCAGAGCCAGACTGAATGCGCGACGCCGCCTACGGCGGCGAAGTCGCGCGAAGGCACCGGACGCACCTGTCCACGGCGCGGGGCACGCCACGCGCCACCAGGGCAGGGCGCAAAGAAAAGGCCGCCACCTATGGCGGCCACGCCCCATGAGCGGCGCGCAGCAAGACATGCGCAACGAAATCGCGGAGCAAGAGACACAATGGCACCTACGCAGAGCACGCACTGGCGCTTTCAGAACAGCAGGGGGAGCAGGAAGCACGGGATGGGGGGGCGGCGCACAAGCAGCGACGCCAAGGCAGGGGGGGCCGCCGACGGCCAGCTCCACAGCCAGAGCGGATGGGCGCGGGCAGGGCGAAACCCTCAGAACACAAGCTGCCCCCAGAAAAAGCGCGGGACCACAGCGCGACGTCGCCTCTGCAATCTCCGTCGGCCTCGCTTCCCCGCACGGGGAAGATTGATCGGACTGTAGATGGGTGAGGGCCTGGGGCGGACATGCTGCCTAGGCAGACGAGGCTCTCCCCCTCCTTCGCTTTGCGCACGACGCACAGCGGAGCGCGTTGCCCCAGCGCCCTCTCCTCACGAGGGGCCCCCCGCGCTGCCCGACAACCCCTGCAGCCCGCCAACGTCACATGGCCACAGACTACACGTGGCTTCACCAGCGCACAGCGAACAGCCTCGTTGAGAAGCTGATTCCACCCGACGTGCACCACCTCGCCGGGAATCACCCGCCGCGATAAACCGCGCGGAAAGGTGGCACGGACCCGCCGGGCGTTCCCGCCGAAGCCCCCCGCAGGCAAAACATGCGAGCACGCCTCCAGAGCACCTTCCACGTACCGGAACCTTCTGCCCTGGCACCCATCATTCAAATGAGCAAAGATCCGCAGCGCCACAGACCCGCACCTCCAATGGTCGATCGGTGTTCTTAGGGGCCGCCCGCCCACCAAAGCAGCCCTTACACGTTTCGGCGACACAGAGCACGCACAGTCGCAGTAGCTAGCGATGGTGCACGGCCTCATCTGAAGCAACGAGAATTGCACAGACCATGGGTGGGCGCGCGCAGGCGGCACTACCGCCCTGGGTCTGAGCCTGAAGATGGGCCGCCGTCCGCGGCCCCGATCAGGCTGGCTCCGATCGGCACGGCACGGGGCCACGTCCCTGTCGCGTTGACTGACCCCTTCGCTGCCAAAGAAAGCATGCACTCGAACGATGGCCGTCGACTTGTATTACGCGTACTCCGCTTGCAGCTGATTGGCCAGAATACAGGCCCGCAGTGGCTCTGAATTGAGCAGAGCGGGACCCCTGACTGTCGTCGCATCTCTGCCCGATCGGCGACGCACGTCTGCACGCCCCCCCCCCACGAAGAACTAGTCCGGCGCGCCCCGCTCCGCATTCGCATTGCGTTAACGGGGCGCGATGAAGGCCGCGAGCTTCGACTGCGCATTCTCGACGTCCTGCGAGGCCCCCCGCCTGCATGGCTCCGTCCGCCTCGGCTGCGGCTTCTCATCGATGCCATCAAATGAGGGCAATCCCGTTGTTGGCTCCCCTAGCCTTGCGCTACACCCCGCCTCCCCCCCTGCTGAATTGCACCCCCGCGCCCATCATAGGCCTGGATCCAGCCCCAGCTCAACTGGCCAGCTATAAAACCCCGGCCGCCACGGCGATATCACGTCCGCAAACGGCGTCCACACTGGATCTTGAGCCAGTAGATAAATTCTGGAGAGGTCAGTGGTTCGCGCCAAGTGGGGCGGCGCACACCGGGCGCCGATCGGCGGAGTCTGCACCGCGACGACGCCGTCGCGGCTCGCGGCGACACAGCCACTCCTGGCCTGCATGCGCCTTCACCTCTGCGAGATGGGGCATGCAATTGCGTCTCGTCTCCGTGGATCCGCGCCAGTGAGTGCCACCACTCCTTAGCCGATGAGAGTCCACTGGCGCGCCGCGGCGGGGGCGGGCTTGCCCCTCGCGCGGGTGGCGCGTGCCACCACGTCTGATGGGGCCTCTGTTCTTAGCGGAAATGGCGCGCCAGCTGCTCGCCCGCTGGGGCGCATCCACACTGGTAGAGCGATTGTAAGACGTTGGTATTTTTCCATGCACGACCAGCTTCCGATGACCTGCCTGCTCGATGCGGCATCCGTCGCGAACATGATCGCGCGCAGCCAACTGCACGCAGGCGTTGGCTTCTAGCCTCATCTCGCCCCCAGGTCGCAGTCGCGCGCGCACTTGGCCAGAAGGCCGCCGAGAACCATCGCGTCGCGATGGCTAGGGTCGCTGCCTCTGTCCAGCGAGATGTCGCACTTGATTGCTGCAGCCATGGGCCACCCAGCGCACAGCGCCGTTGCCCGTCACGTCTCGCCCCCGCGATCACCCACCTCACGCGCGGAGCCGGCGCGCGCTGCATGGAATCGAACCGCGCCTCCGCCGGTCGCCCGCCGAAAGGCATTCGCCCCGAACGGCGCGCATCGCGGATCCAGCCGATCAGAGAATCAGGGCGTGGAACGACGGGTCGGAGAAACGCCGCTCCAGCGCGCGGCCTCGCTGACACCGTCGCCCCCGTGACCCAGCATCGGCGAAGCGCATCAGAAACAGCATGCGATGAATTGCGATCAGGTTAAGCCTGGATGTTTCCTCCCAGGGCAATGACAATAGCCGCCCTGGGACCGCGCCCAGCGCGCCACGGGCGAAGGTCCACGAGATTCCGAGCTTCGCACGCCGCAGTTGCCGAGGAGGAGTCTTCGCCCTACAACGCGGCCCTCCTATCCGTCATCTAGCAGCCTCTGCCGCGTCGCAGC